CTGTAGAAGGGGCCATCATCCGATCCGATGTGACAGAGAAACTGGGAGAACAGAATAAGAGTTACGGGAAGCAGGGTGTGAGTTTGCATAGTTCAGGTAACTGTAGGAGTTGCGGAGTTTGTTGTGGATATTGGTGGCCAGCCCATCCCCGGAAATGGACACAGAGATGTTGAGGAAGGAAAGGGAGGAGTCAGAGATAGACCAGGTGAAGGTGAGGGCAGGATGGAAATTGGAAGCGAAATTGATAAACTTCTCCGATTTCAGATGAGGGGGGAGCAGCATCGATGAAGTCATCGATGTATTAGATAAAGAGTTATGGGTGCAGGCCCCAAGTAGAACTGAAACAAGGAATGTTCCTCGTACTCCACGAATAGTCAGGTGTAACTGGGTACATGCAGGTACCCATGGTCACAACTTTGATCTGAACAAAGTGAGGTAAATTAAAAGAGAAATTGTTCATCATGAGAACAAGCTCAACCAGGCGGAGGAGAGTGGTGGAAGATGGGGACAGTTCAGGCCTTCTTTCCAGGAAGAAACAGAGAGCTGAGACCATCCTGATGAGGAATGGAAGTGTAAAGCGATTACATATCCATGGTGAAAACAGAAGGCGGCTGGAGCCCGCCAACTAGAAATTCTGAAACTGACTTAAAGTGTCAGAAGAATCACAGATGCCAGTGGGATGGGACTGATCAAGGGAGAAAAAAATTGATTCGATATAGGAAGAGATGAGTTCTGTGGGGCAGGTGTAGGCAGAAATAATGGATCTGCCCAGGCAGTCCTGTTTGTGGAATTTGGGAAGGAGGTAGAAGCAGGCTGTGTGGTGTTGGGGAACTAAGAGCTTGAAGGCAATGGGGATGGGGCTGAATGACCAATGAAATGAGATAAGTGCCATTGTGGACATAATAGCCTGGTGTACAATCATGGGGTTAATGGTCTAGGGGAGATAGGAGGAGATGTCCAAGAGCTGGCACTCAGCCTCCACAATGTGGAGGTCAGTACATCAGACAACAACAGCAACACGCTTGTTGACAGGCTTGATGATAAAGTCAGGCTTGGATCTAAGAGCATGGAGTGCAGTCAGCTCAGAGAGAGATAGGTTTGAACGGGTAAGTGAGGAGCAGAGAAATTGAGGCGATCAACGTCATATCGACAATCCTCGGTGAATAGGTTGAATGCAGGTAAAAGGACGGGGGAGGGGGTCCAGGTGGAGTAAGAGTGCTGGAGGAAGGTGAAAGCATATGTGGGACGGGGAGAAGACTCTTTCCAAAGAAACAGGCATGGAAGTGGAGGCAATGGAACAAAAGTTCAATATCATGTCGCACCCAAAATCTATTGAGGTGAGGGCACAAGAGAATAAAATTAAGACCCTAAGACCTCTGAAATGTCTACCTTTTCCAAAACCGACAATTCTCCAAAACTAGGGATCAGTTATTCTGACCCATCTCCTTCATTTTGGTCCTCACCCATTCTCTTCCCTCCCACAACACCAATAGGAGTTCATTGCACCTCACTTACAACCCCACCTGCACCCACATCCAAAGGATCATTGGCCACCATTTCTACCAACTCCAGCAGGATGGCACCACCAGACGTATATTCCCCTTCCCTTTCTTGTCAACCCTCTGCAGGGATCATCCCCTCCAGGACACCTTGGTCCACTTCACCTCAATTCCTAACACCTTCCCATACCCTCAGGTACCTTCCAATGCAATCACAGAAGGTGCAACACCTGCCTGTTTACTTCCTCCTCACTATCCAAAGCCCCATATACAGCTTCCAGGGTGAAGCAGCAATTTATTTGTACTTAACTCAATCTAGTCTACTGTATTTGCTGCTCACATATGATTGCTCTGCAGTGGGGAGCCAAAACGCAGACAGGTGTTCTGCAAAGCGGTCACCCAATGTTCTGTCTGCAAAAATGACCCTGAGCTTTCTGTTGCCTGCCACTTCAACACACCATTCACTGCCATTTCAGATGTTGGTCTCTGGCCAACATCTCTCTCTCAGGTTTGCTGCAGTAGTCAGTGCAAGCTGGAAGAACAGCATCTCATTTTCTGCTTGGGGAACCTCCAGCCTTTGGATTCTATACTGAGTTCAATAATTTTAGGACCTGAGCACTTTCTCCCATGTCCTTATCCGAACCTGCACACACCAGGCCTTGTCATCTCAAGGGCTGCTACCACAAACAACCCCTTGTCAGCCACTAATAGTCCCCATAAGCAGCTATTGATGCTCCCAGGCTGACCTTTGTCTGTCCAATTGCTGTTCTCTTTCTCTCTGTCCTCCATCATTTCATTTATTTCTCTCTCCTCCTCCTGACCATCTTCAGCATATATACCAATATTTCCTAGCTAAAATCAGATCTGAAGAAGGTCACTGGACCTGAAATGCTAACTCTGTTTTCTCGAGTTTTTACAGCTATTTGTTTTTGTTTCTGTCTGATCATTGTTTTGCTTCTTTTAATTTACTAGTATGAAGTCAATTGGAAAAAAGAAGTATGATTTTTTTAAAGCTATCTTTAAACAGCTGGTCTTAGAATCACTGATCATTCCTTACTTAGATGCGAGTGTACACCTGTTGGTAACTTGTAAAAAACCCGGCCAAAGACTAGGAATAGGGGGCTGTATGGCTATGGAACTAAACTAAACAGATGGAATTTTAATGTTTAACCATGGGTCCTGATGTTGAGATCACATGCAGGTCCTACGGATAAACTGAGAAAGGAAGGCAGATTTTTAGATCAATTAATAAGGTGCAACTTCACATTGATGGCAGTGCCCTGCCTCTCCAAATTGCTGGCGCAATCAGAGGCTGGCAGCTTGGTAACACTACCGATGGATGCGGATGCTGCTGAGGCTGCAAGGGGAAGGAAAGGCCTCCCCAGTGGCATGATCTCAAAGGATGAGGAAGAAACTGCAGGCAGGTCCCAGAAATTGAAGAGGTAACCCCCTGGAGGGAGTGCTGATGCCATGCTGACATCCATTGCTATCTTGTGGCCTATCAAGCAATTCCCAGCATTCCCCATCTCCTCCTTGGAAGCTGCTATGATACCACTTTGAAGTACTACCCCCATGTCTCCATGCAGAGGAGATCTAACCGTAACCCTATTGCAGGTGCTCAGGTGCTTGTAAAATGTAGCAGGGGCATGCAAAATGACCATTAATAGGCCAGTCAATACCATTAATTGGACCCATGCTGACTATTGGCAGGTGTCTGAGCCTTTCCTGACTTCCAAAATATCTCCTGATGGGGAGTTGTTGTTGGGCCTCTCTCCAGATAACTTCAGTTGCCCTCCTGCCTTGCTTCTCAACTGCTGGTAAACGCTGGCAAATGTCTCAACAAGTATGCATTAGTCTAACAAAAATCTGGCATATAAACAATTTCAAAAGTACAAGCTGAAGAAACACTATTACTACCTACCACTACTGAAGATGAAGCAAATGGCATTTCTGGGATTATTTCAATGGTACAGATGCACGACTTTGCACATTTAAATCAACATCTGCAAGTTTACAGTGGGCACCAACCTGTTAGAAAACAGAAATTAGTTAACTACTGCAAACGAAAGTGAAAAATAATTTCTAGCAGATACAGCAATATAGATAGCAGTAAGGATACTGCTACAGTTGGACAACAAATTTATAAAAGATAATTTAAACAACCTAGGTATCTCAATAAGAAAACCACAAACTCCTTAAAATGGCAAGTCAATCTGTAACGGGAAAATACTATGTTAAGTATTCACCCAGAATCTCTTAGAGGTCATTACAAAAATACACTTTGATATGGATTTCTTATTCCAGCAAACGTCCATCACGTCTCATCTATAGTCACTGTGCAGTTTTGAATTTATCACTATGTCAGTAACACATTAATATAGATCTGAAACATAAACCAGAGTTGTTCAATTAGAGCAAAATGAGGAACCATTTTCAAATATGAATTTATAAAATATGAGTACAGTACTAAAACCTAATATAAAACATCTGAGAGCCTGCAATAAAACTCATATTTTGGCAACAGTTTCAATGTGCAGGCAGCCATCTCAGCCACCAACCTCAGAAAACAGAAACTTTTCAGCAATTTAAAGAAAGATGTTACCTTAGAATCTATACTTATGAGGTATAACATAAAAGGGAAGGCATCATCATTATTGCAGATATCTCACAAAACACCAAGGTTATTTGATCAGCCATCTAAAACATAGTGGAGAAGGATATGGAAGCTAGAGAACTTGGGAAAATAAACAGCAACATCTTGAAAAACGTCCATATTACAGAGGTGGTGGTCTGGATGTCTTAAAACGCATAAAGGTGGATAAATCCCCAGGACCTGATCAGGTGTATCCTAGAGCTCTGTGGGAAGCAATTGCTGGGCCCCTTGTCGAGATATTTTTTAATCAGTAGCCATAGATGAGGTGCAGGAAGCCTGGAGGTTGGCTAACACGGTGCCACTGTTTAAGAAAGGTGGTAAAGAAAAGCCAGGGAACTATACACCAGTATGCCTGACATCAGTAGTGAGCAAGTTGTTGGAGGGGATTGTGAGGGACAAGATTTACATATATTTAGAAAGGCAAAGACTGATAAGGGATAGTCAACACGGTTTTGTGTGTGGGAAATCATGTTTCACTGACTTAATTGAGTTTTTTGAAGAAGTAACAAAGAAGATTAAGGAAGGCTGAGTGGCGGACGTGATCTATATGGACTTCAGTAAGGTGTTTGACAAAGTTCTGCATGGTAGACTGGTTACCAAGTTAGATCACATGGAAGACAGGGAGAACTAACCATTTGGATACAGAACTGGCTCAAAGGTAGGAGACAGAGGGTGGTGGTGGAGGTTGCTTTGCAGACTGGAGACCAATTCCTAATCAGTCCTTGCCTTTCCAAATACATGGAAATCCAGTCCTTCAGGAGTCCCTCCAATAACTTGCCCACCACTGATGTCAGAATGAAGGCCTGTGACCAGCTGTGTGACACAAGGATTGGTGCTGGGTCCACTGCTTTTCGACATTTATATAAATGATTCGGATGTGAACATAGATGTTATTTCGAGTACGTTTGCAGATGACACCAAAATTGATGGTGTAGTGGACAGCCAAGAAGGTTACTTCAGAGTACAACAGGATGTTGATCAGATGGGCCAATGGGCTGAGGATTAGCAGATGGAGTTTAATTTAGATAAATTTGAGGTGCTGCATTTTGGAAAGGCAAATCAGGGACTTATACACTCAATGACAAGGTCCTGGGGAGTGTGGCTGAACAAAGAGACCTTGGAGTGCAGGTTCATAGTTCCTTTAAAATAGAGCTGCAGGTAGACAGGACAGTGAAGAAGGCATTCGGTATGCTTGCCTTTATAGGTCAGTGCATTGAGTATAGGAATTGGGAGATCATGTTGCAGCTGTACAGAACATTGGTTAGGCCACATCTGTAATACTGCTTTCAATGCTGGTCTCCCTACTAAAGTAAGGATGTTGTGAAACTTGAAGAGGTTCAGAAAAGATTTACAAGGATGTTGCCAGAATTGGAGGGTTTGAACTATAGGGAGAGGGTGAATAGCCTGGGGCATTTTTCCCTGGAGCGGCTGAGGCTGAGGGGTGACCTTATTGAGGATTATAAATCCATGAGAAGCATGGATGGGGTGAATAGCCAAGGTCTTTCCCTAGGTTAGGGAAGTCTAAAACTAGGCATAGACTTAAGGTGAGAGGGGAAAGATTTAAAAGGGACCTAGGGGGCAACTTTTTCATGCACATGGTGGTGCATGCATGGATTGAGTTGCCAGAGGAAGTGGTGGTGGCTGGTACAATTGCTTGGATGAATGCAGCCCCAACAACACTCAAGAAGCTTGACACCATCCAAGATAAAGCAGTCCGCTTGGTTAGCACTACATCCACAAGCATCCATTCCCTCCACCATCAATGCTCCAAAGCAGCAGTGTGTACTATCTACAAGATGCACTGCAGAAACTCAAAGACGAACCTCAGGACAGCACCTTCTAAAACCACGACCATTTTCATCGAGAAGGACAAGCGCGGCAGATACATGGGAACACCACCACCTTCAAGTTCCCCCTCCAAGCGACTCACCATCCTGACTTGGAAATATATTGCCATTCCTTCACTGTAACTGGTCAAAATCCTGGAATACCCTCCCTAATGGCATTGTGGGTCAACCCACAAAAGGTAGACTGCAATGGTTCAAGATGGCAGCTCACCACCACCTTCTCAAAGGCACAAGGTACAGGCAATAAATGCTGGCCAGCCTGCAACGCCCACATCCCACAAACAAAAACAAAAACATGAATAGGAGGGTCTGGAGGAATGTGGGCTAAATGCTGACAAATGGGACTAAATTAAATTAGGATTTATGGTCTGTTTCCATGCTGTACAGCTCTATGACTCTATATGCAAATTGACAACATATGTCAAATGGCACCAGTCACAGATGGGACTCTCAGAATCCACTCTCAATCCACACACAACTCAATACAGCCTGTGGGTGACGAGAGCCAGCCAAAAAAACATCCTGAATCCTGCACAACTCGGCAGGATTACATTCTTGCAACTACTGTGGAACATGCAAATATGCTGTGAATCAACAAATACAATACAGAATTTGCTGAGAGAAAAAAAGACATGCATTCATATAGTGCTATGTATTACAATATCAAATACAGTTCAGAAATTGTTCATTGCCTATAAAGTGCTTTGAGACATCTAGTGGTCATGCCAAATGTTATAAAATACAAGGGCTTCTTTTCAAGTGCGAATAAAAGTGCTTTCAAAGTGTTATCATGGCTGTAATGCAGGAAACATGCCAGTCAATGTGCATACAGCAAGCTTCTACAAACAGTAATATGGCAATGGTCAGATATCTATTTTTGTAATGTTGGCTTAGGGATAAATAATGACCAGAACACCAGGGATAACTTATCTATTCTTCTTTAAACAGTACCATGGAAACTTTTATGCCCACTTGAGAGGGGAGATGTCTCACTGAAAAGTGGCATCCCTGATAATACAGCACTCTCTTAGTACTGCACTGGATGATCAGCCTTGGTTTTTGAGCACACATCCTGGAATGTAACATGAAACCCAGTACCTTGTGACTCAGAAGAAAAATTTATTACCAATTAAGATTTGTCCAAATACAATAAGCACTAGTTGGTACAATGACCCCTCTGCTAATTACAATGACCTTAAACTAGTTGAAATGATATAACTAAGTGAAGTTGCCAATGGTCTGCTACAGCAAGCTTGGCAAAAATGTGGAATGGCTCACAACAATGTACTTGATGAGATACTGTAGAGGATAATTCAGAAGAGACTTCTTTCAATTCACTAAGTTCTACTACTATTAGTATGATGAGTAGAAATGATATCCATGGATAAGTAGCAAGAATAACTTAATATTTATAAAATATATTTGAGCAACTGACTACAAGTCTGTCAGCAGTAGGAAAACTTCCAGAGAACATACAATCCATGACAAAATTATCACATGGAAGAACAAGAGTTAATAAATGACAACCAACATGAATTTGTTAAAATTAACCCTGAAAAAACATTGAGATTTTATAATTAAACAATTGAGTGGATTGATGAAGATGTTTAATGAGGTAGCATAAGATAGGCTTATTAGTAAGACTGAAATCCTTGAGATTGATTGACAAGTGGTATCTTAGAAAAAGAATGAGCTAAGAAACAGAAAACGAAATAGTGTTGAACAGTTCATCAGACTGGAAACATTTATTTACCCATGTCCCCCATGATCATTATTGAAACCACGGCTCTTTATAATATTAATGATCTTGACATGTATAAAGGTGACACAATTTCAAAGATAACATAAAGATGAAAAAGATGCTACATAATTGTTCATTTTAAATCAAAAGATTCATAGCAACTTATTAAACAATTGAAATCAAGCATGAGGGCATAGAAAGATTAACGAAATGGCAGCCATAGTAGAAGGTTAATGCAAAAGTGTGAAGTGACACATTTTCAAATGAAACACATCGTCTTCCACAATTTAAATGGGGCAACTTTAAAGGTAGTGCAAAAACAGAAAGACCGAGGGACTTCAGCTATTTAGTTACAAATGCAGGACTGTTTTAAAAAAAATCTAATGGGCTGTCTGGTTATATATCTAGAGGAATGGAATAATAAGAAAGGAAGGCATCAATTATTTAAATTATGAGGAGAGATTACACAAACTAGGATCGTATTTTCTGGAATGTACAGCGTTAATGGGTGATTTACTTGACAAGTTTACTTTAGGAGGAACAGGTAGGTTAAAAACAGGAGACATTAACAATATTTGGACTGTCTAGGACTAAAGGGAATTGTCTGAATGTTTGAGAGAGACTTTTCAGGATTGAAACTAGGAAGCGCTTCTAAACATAAAGGGTGGCAAATTTCCATAAATGGTAACTAATGTTACATAATTGTTCATTTTAAATCAGAGATTCATGTAAACTTATTAAAGTTATTAAGAGATGGAGCAAAGGTGTATATATGCAGTAAAATTCCAACCTGTGATCTTATTGAATGGTGATGGAACAGGATTGAGGATCTAAATGGTCTACTCTTGTTCTTATGTTCCCTAATTATGCAAAAATTTAAAACTCACTATTAGGCTTCAGCTGCAGTATTGTGTCCAATTCTAGGCACCACACTTTAAGAAAGAGGTCTAGGCCTTATAGAAAACACAAAGGAACATTGCTAGAATGGTGCCAGGAACGAGGAACTAGTGGAAAGACTAGAGGAAATGGAATTGTTCACCTCAGATCTGAGAATATTAAGGGAAGACTTAACAGACAAATTCAAAATTTTAAATGGTTTTGATGGTTTCTTCCCCAGCTAGTCTGTTTCAACTGGTAGAAGAATTAGTAACCAGAAAAAAATGAGGATAAGTGGAAAAACATCCAGGCTGGAAATTAGATTCCTTTTATTTTCGCACATAGCAAATTATGATCTGGACTTGCACTACCTAAAGTGGAAATGTAAGTAAATTAAACAGTAGCTTTCAAAAAGGAATTGGATAAACACTTAAAAAGTAGAAAATTATAGGATTAGGTTGAACAGGAGGTGGAACTCATTGGATGTCTTTTCCACAGATAAAATGGAACAAATTGAATAGAAGCCTGTGTGCGCTAATTAACTGCAATGGTTCAGGAAAAGTGAAATTGCTGTAAATGTTACAGATATTCAGTAGAAACAGCAATTACATAGACAATATGTTGGAAAACAATCACACAGGTTGACAAAATTAATTATGTAATAAAATTCCAATAAAATATTCTAAGGACATGGGTTTTAAGCCCACCATGGCAACTGGTGACATTTAAATTAAATAAAAATCTGGAATTAGAAAGCTAGCCTAATGGTGACCATGTAACCACTGTCAATTGTTTTAAAACTCATCTAGTTCATTAATGTCTCTCAAGGAAGGAAATCTGCTGTCATTACCCGGGTCTGGCTGTGACTCTAGATCCACAGCAATGTAGCTGACTCTTAACTACTCTCTGGGCATTAGGGGTGAGCAATAAATGCTGGTCTAGCTAGAGATGCTCACATACCATAAATGAATAAAAAACCATAGATTCTTACAAGTTGCAACGGTCTAGAATAAAATAAATTAAATAATTAAATAAAATGAATGAACAAACAAATTGGCTACTTAACAAACACGACACCCACCTGATCTGGAATTCTGTGCTTTTCTGTTGAACATTCCTCCGTTTTTGATTTAATCTGTTCACTAGACAAGCCTGGTGACTTGTTAATTGGAGAGCACAGTTTAGCACTACTTTGTTCCATGGCAATTAGATGATTCAACATTCCACTTAGAGTGTCCATGTTGCTATTACTAGTCAGATTAGTGACCTCTAAATCTTCTTCAGCTTCTGCATTGGCAGACTGATTGAATAAAGTTGTGCTCTCTGACTTCCCTGCGCAAGAAACATCCATTGTATCATCTAAGCTGATATTCTGCTCAATAAAAGACTGCTCAAGTTTTTCACGAATCCTGTTAGAGTAATTCAGGGACTGTAATGCTGAACCAATATCTGTGCCATACGTATCATGAGCACTGAAAGGTCTGTTCATGTTTCTGGTCAAAGGGTAAAAGCTCTTCAGTTGTGATGTGTAGTCTTTTCTATTATTGGATTCATTCTGAGTCTCTAATGTGGGAGAATGCAGCTGCTGTTTACCCATTGCTCTTTCAAATCCAGAAATTTTGACTTGTAGTCTTGCTACTTCAGATTCCTATATTTAAACATGGAAAATAAAACTACATCACCGTGTAATACCAATCATCATTCGGTTTGTACGACAACAGTTCACGTTAGAAGTTTAGCAAAAAAAATCTCAGAATTGCAAATGGTGCAGAAAGAAGTCATTCAGCCCATCTTGTCTGCACCAGCTGGCTGCATGACCATTTTGACATGGGACCATTCTCCCGCCTTTTTTTCATAATCCTACATGTAGCTTGTATTCAAATAGTCATTTAATGCTCTCCTGAATGCTTCAATTGGACCAGCCTCTAACAGACAATGCACAGTCAATTCACCTAACCATCTTTGGACTTTTGGGAGAAAACTGGAACATCACGCAGACATAGACAGAATATGCAAGATCCACACAGATTATCACCCAAGGCTGGAATTGAACCCATGTCCCTGGTGCTGTGAGGCAGCAGTGCTAACCACCGAGCCACCTATCCACCCGTTCCACCAACTTGTCAATGTCCTTTGGAAGTTCTACATAATTCTTCTCACAGTTTATAATGCCTCTAAGTTTTGTTTCATCTGCAGACTTTGAAACTGTCCTTTGCAAGGGTTGCAACATCAAATCCTGGGAATCTCCAGCCAAAAAAATTTAATAGATCAATATTTGTCTCTTGACACACATGCATATCCATATTGCTCCTGCTCATTTTATTTCTGGAGATATAACTCTGCCCCCAGAATTGTTCTGCCGCACCTTTTAGAAATCCATTCCAACTGCATTACCCTTGTCAACCTTCTGTTACCTCTTCAAAAAACTCCAGTAAGTTAGTTAAACATGATTTGCCCTAAAGAATTACATGTTGTTCTTATTAATTAATCCACATTTGACCTTGTGACTAATAATTTGGGACAGAATTGGTATTTCCAGAAGTTGATCCACTTCCAAATTTAAACTGTAATCACTGGACTTATCCTTACACTCTTTTTGAACAAGGGTGTTCAATTTCCCTTTTCCTCTCCTATCACTTTTAAAGGTCTGCAAAATCCCATCAAAATTTTAATCAGCGATCAAAATCTTGACTTCTCTGTCTTTACTGCTAGAATTTTGAGGAAATGTTTTATATTCTGAATATGATATTAAATTGTTCTTGAATGACAATTTGCTCCAGTCAATTGTCTCAAAATAAAAGTCCTACCTTAATGATGAGGCTTTCTTCTGCAGCATTTATCACCTCCCTCTGATTCTTAATTTCTGACTCAAGATGAAGAATACATTCTTGAGCCTTTTCTAGATCCTGGCTCAATTGTAACAACTGGTCACTTGATTTTTGGGTCTCAGAACTTTCCATAATAGTTGGTAATGACTGTGCATTTCGTTCTCTAAGCATAGCAATCTGTAACAAAAACAAATGCAGACTTTTAAGTTTAATTCTTGATGATTTAGAGCCAGTCTTTTATCTCCAGATCAAATAGATTAAGAGAGACTTCTCAGCAATACGTAACAAATATTGTTTCAAATGTCTAGCATCTTAATTCAGCTGTTTTAGAACGTAACTTCTAGTTTTAGGAGATTAAAGTATTAGAAGTAGGATAAATGAAGAATCCTGATTGGGACACAGGTAATAGCTCTGAACTGAATGCAATTAATATAAACTGGGAATTACAGTTAAAAGGTAACCCACACTTCCTTTAAAAGATCAGTGCGAAAGATGTAAAGATATGAAGAAAGAATAACCTCAGAGTTGGAAACCTCAACGAGATTAGCCATGATCTTATTGAGTGGTGAAGCAGGCTCAAAGGACTGAATGACCTAATCCTGCTCCTAAACCTAATATTCCCACTTTCTTGGTAGAGTCAGAGTGTCTATCATTGATTTGGGAAAATAAGTTATAAGCCAGCAATTCCTGGAAAAGGATAATAAATTTCCATTGCAGATATAAATGAAAGGATCCAGCAGTCACACAAAGTAAAATAATTAGTTTGCACTTCTATTTGAAGCTTATCACATTGGCATTGAATTGCAATGTGAGGTTCAAAGATTCATTTGTTTAATTTATCTTTGAGAGTTTTCTTGAGCCAACGGGAATCAGGAGGAAAACTATGTCGGCTGGAATCACACCAAGCACAGAGAAAGATGGTTATTGTTGTTGGAGATCAATAATCCTGACCTCAGGATAGCACTTCAGGGGGTCCTCAGGTAGTGTTCTAGGCCCAACCATCTTCAGCTGCTTGGTCAATGATCCTTCCTCTATCGTAAGGTCAGAAATGGGGATGTTCGCTGATAATTACACATTGCTCAGTACCATTTGTGACTTCTCAGATGCTGAAGCAGTTGTACCCATATTTGGCAAAACCTGGGCAACATCCAGGCTTGTGCTGAGAAGTCATAAGTAACATTCACGGCACACCGTGCCAGCCAGTGGCTATCTCCAACCCAACGGAATCTAACCATCACTCTTTGACGTTCAATGGCATACAGTCACTGATTCTTCCTACTAACAACATCCTGGTGGTCATTACTGAACTTGACTAGGCATATTAATGCTGTGACTCCATGATCAGGACAGAGCCTAGGAATTCTGCAATGAGTAACTCAGCTCCTGTCGCCCCAGTGCCTGTTCGCCATCAATAAGGCACAATCAGCAGTGTGATTGAATGCTGTCGATTTGCCTGGATGAAGACTGCTCCAGTTAAGAAAGCTCAACAAGATGTGGAACGAAGCAACCTGATTGAAAGGCTCAACACCTTCAACATTCACTCCCTACATAATTGAAACAGCTGCGTGAATCATCCGAAAGATACACTGCGGTAACACATCAAGGCTCTTTCAACAGCATCTTCCAAACCTGCAACCTCTACCTCATGGAAGAACATGGGCAGCAGATGCACTAGCACCTACAAATTCCCCTTCAAGTCACACATAAACTATATCATCCTTCGTCACTGGTCAAAATTTGGGATACGCTTCCTAACAATACTAAGGATGTCCCTTAGTACTAATACTAAGGAAGACAGCTTATTTCCACCTTCTCCAGGACAATTAAAGATGTACAACAAATGTTGGCTAAGCAAGGAACATTTACAGCCCATTAATCATTTAAAAGAAAGGAACAGACAGTTCAGTTTAGACACAGACAAAAGAAAGTTATAATTCTGCTTTAATGAAGATCATCATTCACAGGATTGAAGGAGCTGATGGCAGAGGACAGTCTATTAGGCCTGCATTACAGGCAGAGAAATATTAACTCAATTGCTCACTGCATGGAATGTGGGTGGGCCTCAATCTCAGTGTGAATTTTTCAAAGGAAAAGCAAGATTGGCTTTAGCTTGCAGTTACCATATGAAACCATATACCATATCTGCAGTAGTCCTCACAGAGCCTTGCAACAGAAAAGAGTTTCACTAATGTTTTTTAGGGAAGGAAATCTGCCATCCTTACCTGGTCTGGCCTACAAGTGACTCTAGACCCAAAGCGATGTGGTTGACTCTCAACTGCCGTCTGAAATGGCCTAGCAAGTCACTCAATTGTATCAATGGTTATTAAGTCTCAACAAAGAAGTGAAACCAGACCGATCTCTTGGCATCAACCTAGGCACAGAAAATGACAATGGCAAAAACAGCCCTGTTGACCCTGATGTGGAGATGCTAGTGTTGGACTGGGGTGGACAAGCTCAGAAATCACACAACACCAGGTTATTGTCCAGCAGATTTATTTGAAAACACAAGCTTTCTGAGTCACTAAAACCTGAAGGAGGAGTAAGACTCTGAATGCTTATGTTTTCAAATAAACCTGTTGGACTATAACCTGGTGTCATGTGATTTCTGACTTAGTCGATCCTGGAAAGTTCTCCTGACTAACAACTGGAAGTTAGTGACAAAATTAGCAGAGCTGTCTATTATGGACCAGACCAAACCCTTTCAAAATATTAAGAAGATAGTCTAGAGTCTAACTTTTACTTATTTTCAAGGTAAATGTAAGATGTTGCATTCCAGATGCAATTTGAATGGCCTGAGAATATTCCACAAACATTGCCATCTCATTGAAGGCACATCATTGCAAAAACAAGGCAGAAGCATTTGCACCCACCTTTGCCAGAAGTGTCGAGTAGATGATCCCTCTGCCTCCTTTCTGAGGTCCCTAGCTTCATAATGCCAGTCTTCAAGCAATTTGATTCACTCCATGCCATATCAAGTACTGGCTGAAGGCACTGGATGCAGCAAAGGTGTTTCAGAAGCTGATTTTAATGTTTGGAACCATATTTACCGAATAAAGGCAGTTGACCACCCTTAAGGAATTTACCAATAGTTTAATAAGTGGCAGTTTAGATAAGGTGTTTTAATGAATTAGATGTAAGAGAAATATGGCCCATGTCACTTGATGATGGTTCACTGAGATGGCAATGTTTGTGGAACATTCTCAGGCCATTAGCTGTCAGTTCACAACTGGTTGTAGTAGACTATGAAGCTTGGATCTGATCCAGTGGCTATGCCTATGGGATTGCTTAGCTCTGAGTATTTCATGTTACTTCCACTGTCTTTTATGTAAGTAACCCTGTGTTGAAGTTTCACCACGTTGGCATATCCCAGCATATTCTACAATGTTGAGGTTGGTTGGCTCGCCGAGCTGGTTTGTTGTTCCGCAGACCTTTCGTTACCGTGCTTGGTAACATCCTCAGTGCAGCCTCTGATGAAGCGTCGGTGTGTTTTCCCACCTGGTTTTTAAACTCTGGGGTCCATTGCGATGGATCGCCTCACTTCCGGGTTTCTTCCGTAGTGGAATGTATATGGGGTCGAGTTCAATGTGTTTATTAATAGCATGCTTCGTGGAGTGCCATGCTTCCAGGAATTCTCGTGCTTGTCTCTGCCTAGCCTGTCCCAGGATCTTGGTGTTGTCCCAGTTGAAGTCATGGTTTTCCTTGTCCGTGTGGATTGAGATGAGTGAGTATTAGTCGTGTCTTTTTGTAGCCGGTTGGTGGTCATGTACTCTTGTTGTTAGTTTCCTTCCTGTTTGTCCGATGTAGTGTTTCTCGCAGTCTCTGCAGGGGATCTTGTAGATGACATTGGTCCTGTCCATGGCGGAGAGTGGGTCTTTAGTTCGGGTGAGCACTTGTCGTAGGGTTGATGTGGGTTTGTGTGCCACTCTGATGCCCAGCTGTTGTAGAAGTCTTGTGGTGAGTTCTGACGTGTTCCTGATGTAGGGTAGTGTGATGAGTGTGTCGGGCCGTGTAGAATCTTTCTGATGCTGTTCCTGTAGGCATCTCCTGACCCAGTTCTTTGGATATCCATTATCTTTGAACACTTGGAAGAGGTATTCCTCCTCTTCCTCTTGGCGTAGTTCCATGTTGCTGCAGTGTGTAGTTGCCCTTTCACAACCAATACTCACTCACCTCAATCCACATGGACAAGGAGAACTACGAATTCGACTGGGACAACACCAAGATCCTGGGACAGGCTAGGCAGAGACAAGCACGAGAATTCCTGGAAGCATGGCACTCCACAAAGCATGCTATTAATAAACACATTGAACTCGACCCCATATACATTCCACTACGGAGGAAACCCGGAAGTGAGGCAATCCATTGCAATGGACCCCAGAGTTTAAAAAGCAGGTGGGAAAACACACCTACGCTTCATCAGAGGCTGCACTGAGGATGTTACCAAGCACGGTAACGAAACGTCTGCGGAACAACAAACCAGCTCAGCGAGCCAACCAACCTCAACACCCACAACCCGAGCTACAGATCTATTCCAAAACCTTAGATATTCTACAATGCTGCAATAAACCACGAATGATCCCCTGATGTGATGATTATGGTAGAATGCAGAATATGCCAAACCATTAGTCAAAGAGAATGCATACATAATATAGCATGCAAAAAAAACGTTATGTAATTGGATGAATTAATTTTCCTGAGGTGCCAATCTCTTGCACACTGGCACTCCACTGGAAGAGTTCCACACTTCCAAGAGAAGATTCCTATTAGGGCTTCTTCAAAAATGTGGAGCCATGCTTGTATTCTGACAGTTCATTTCTCGTGCAGGATGTGAGCATGTGGGTATATGCATTTGTGGCTGTGTCTGACTGATGTGTCGCTGTCAGAAAATACATTTCAAAACATATCTGGGTCAAAATGATCTAAGGGTTGATACACATCTTTTGATTTGTTGTATATTCAATAAGGTTATTAAATTGATAGAAGTACCATCACAGTAACGAGTTTCCACATAGTCCTCATTAAATAAACTGTATCTTACTTCTCTCTGGTGAGTATTTTTCAAGTGTTTAATAAATTCTTTTAATTTCTTTGTTTCTGTCTGCATCCTGATTTCCAATTGGTCCTCTCGAGCTTGAGCAGCTCCCAATTCTTCAGCAAGATGAGCAGCACGGGCTTCCTACAGACAATACAATAAGGTACAAGTGATATAAATTCATCTTTACCAAAGAAAAAAATGCTACTAAAATCAGTGAAAGAGTTGCAAGTTGTGATACTACAGGCTCTATATTGATAGAAAAAAGATACTAGAATGGCAGATTGTACTTAAAGTTGGGTAAGTGACTACGATAAGATAGGAAAGTAAATGTAGCAATAGTAGTCAAACTAACTATAATTTCAAGACCCCCTCTTTAAGTATGGCAGTGGTGCCACAGTATTGAAAAATTGGACAAGTCACAAGGATAGCCCAGCATCACTATGCTAGTTTAACATCGGTGGTGGGAAGACCTTTAGAAAGATAAACTTGGACAAAATTAACAGTCACCTGGATAAGTATCGATTAATTAAGGAAAGCCAGCATGCATTTATTAAAAATAAATAACCTGATTGAGTTTTTGATGAGATGTTAATGAAGGTAATACAATTGATGTGATGTATGTAGAGTTCCAAAAGTGCTATTTAATAGGTTTGCCAACAAAGTTAAAGCCCATGGGATAAGAGAGACTCTGCAGCATGCATATGAAGTAAGAGTAAGGACATAGTAAATGGTAAATGTTTTTATTTCTCAGACTGGAGGGAGGTATTCTCATGGATAGATGCCCAGAGTACGGCTTTTCTCGATACATATTAGTGACTTAGATTTAGATTAACAGACACAATTTCAGTCTGCAGATATTGCAGAACTTGGAAGTGTAATTTTACATGGAAACGAATAGATTTCAAAAGGATACAGACAGGCTGGTAAAATTTAATGTCGATAAGTGCAAAGTGGTACATTTTCTAGGAAGAATGAAATGTAGTATCATAAATTAAACAGTACAGAAACAGAGACATCTACGGGTATACTTGCACAAAACTGCTGAAGGTAGAATAACTGGTTAAGAATGTGCTCAGAACGGCTTAACAGATCCTGAACTTCGTAAATCATAGACCATAAAGCAAAGAAATCATGATGAATTTTCGTAGAGTACTGGCCCAAATATATCTCGAGGACTGGCAATCATAACCCTATTGCCAATCTGCTCAGTTTTAAACTTAGTACCTAGTTCTGACTTACAGCTGGGGATTCTAATATCAGCATAATTTACAGAGCATAGTATAAATCAACTCAGTTTTCCTTTAACACAGGAGAGTCTTTCTTTTTGCAGGGAAGTCAAATCTCTTTTACAGCAGTCAATTGCGGTGTTCAGAAATTTAAATATCCACCAACATGGCCAGACACTTTGATATCACTTTGAAACAGCAAACATACAAGTGTGGGGTTGGGTGACATTTGGTTAAGAGGTTAGATCCAGGTGGCTAGGAGGCCAGTGTGGCAGGTTAATCTTTGGAGTGCTGAACTTAGGTTGGTAACAGGTTGTGGCTTTGTGTCTGTGTGCGTCCATGCACGTTTTAGGGGTGAGGGAAGGGTTGGGTTGGGTTCTGGGCTTCAGTCAGAATGTGGGACACACAGGCATAAAGGGTCAGGGAAGGTGTAATTACGGCTGTGATCTTCTTAAACAGAAACAGAAATTGCTGGAAAAGCTCAGCAGGTCCGCCAGCATCTGCAAAGAGAAATCAGAGTTAATGTTTCGGGTCCTGTGACCCTTCCTCACAGATACTGCTGAGACCTGCTGAACTTTTCCAACAACATCTGTTTTTGTTTCTGATTTACAGCATCCGCAGTTCTTTCAGTGTGATCTTCATGGTTACCCAGGAGTTAGACTAGGTTTTTAATTGACTAACTTTTCCTGGGTAACTATCAACTTTAAGGAAGCAGTACTCTCTGAATTTTCTGATGTTAAAGGGCTTTTTTAGAGGATTCAGGAGAACTACCTATTTGAATATTCCCAAGAAAAGGTGCTATTACTTGCAGTCCCCAATTGGTCTAGGCGGAGGAGAAACTGGAGGTCAATAAGATGAAAGGTTCAGAAATGGAAGGCTGTGCGGTGTCAGAGAGGAAGACACCATTGGCTGAGTTTAGGGAACCGATGTTAAATAGTGAGCTGTGTGCAGAGTTTCTTTAAGGGCCTGGGGGAAAGAAATTAACTGAAGAAAATAACAATCAGTGAATGCTCAGAAGTTTGTGAAAATGAAATGCATTACAGCTATGTCAGTTGAGCAACAACCTTTAGTGTGGAAATAGGGATGACTCTATATTAATTTATGGGATCCTCAGGTTTATGAATCGAGGCAGAGAGTATAAAAGCAAGGAAGTTCTGCTACATCTCTGCAAATCATTGGGTAGACCATATTTGGAGTACTGTGCTCAGTTGTGGGCACCTTATTTAAGGAAGGATATTAAAACCGCGGAGAGAGTTCAAAGGAGATTTACTAGAATGATACCAGGAATGAGGGATGTGAGGAAAAATGAGAGAAATTGGGCTTATCTCATTGGAGCAGAGAAATTTAAGGAAGTGACCTCATTGAAGTGTTCAAAATTATGAAAAATTTTGACAGGGTAAAAGAGGATATTCTGCTTACACTAGTTGGTATATCAGTAACTAGGGGCAACAATTTTGAGATTATCAGCAAGACAGTGAGGAGTGAGGTGAGGAGAAACTTCTTTACTCAGTTGTTAGGACTTGGAATATGCTGCATTGCAGAGTGGTGGTAGTGGATTCCATATAAGATTGCAGAAAAGAGCTGGATATATATTTCAAAATTTAGAGGGCCATGGAGATAGAGCTGGAGAATGGAACTAATTGGGTAGGTCTTTCAGGAGCCAGTACAGATACAAAGAGTCAAATGGCCTCCTTCTGTGCTGTAAAATTCTATGATTCTATTTTATTCAAATGCTGCTCTTACCTTTTCTTGAGATAGTCGAATAGTTTCGTCCAGCTCAACAGAGAGGCGTTCCACCTCTCTTTGTGTCTGTGCTAGGCGTTGCTGAGCCTCCCTCACTTCCAGATGATAGCGCTGCATTTGTTCACGTGCTATCTGTACTTGTTGGCTTTCGTCCAACACTTCCTTTTGCTGTTTCACAATACACTGATCCTTATTTTTCAGTATCTGGATAAACGTTAATCAAGTCAATAAACAGAAAGGATTATTTATGAAGTACGTCCAAGAATATCTTGAAAACATCTTTAAAAATGCTATTCCATACATTTAAAGTAAAACTAATGGGGTGTTCTGCAACAAAACACAATAAAACGAAGGTGCAATTACTTGTTTGGTAGTACAGAACTTGAGTATTGCCGATAAAAAGATACATTTTGACGAAAATTTTAATCTTGTACTCATTAAGCCAAATTGCAAGAATACAAATTCAAGGAAAGTACCAAAATTTATACTGCACAAAATAGTGTTATGCTATGGAAAATGCACCAATCAACAACTGACAGGCAGTTAACAGCCAGGCCTTGTTTACATTTTAAACCAGTGAAATCTGAGAAATGAACCAGTGAACGATCGTCACCTATTTTGTGGAGTTGAACAGGACAGGATGCGTTCACAAGTTCTTTCTGCCTGCAACTTACAATTCAAACTTCAAACTATTAAGAGAGAGATGACTGATTTAACCTGAGGGCCACCATACCTTAGGTGAGGGAAGAGGCTGAGAAGGAGAGTCTTTCATGATTATCTCAGCCAGTGATGGGAATTGAACCCATGCTTCGTAAAACAACTGTCCAGTCACATTATTCATTAGCATTGCGAATGTACAGCAATGATTCAAAATTAATCTGCATTAAATTATTTTGTCTTACCAGCAAAACTGAATGAATTAAGCGCGCGAAAGTAGAATTTGAAAATAACATGCCTTATCATTCCACATTTGATTATTCCAATGTTTTCTTTACCAGTTTTCCATTCTTCATCATTCTTCTCCAGCTCCAAAAACTCTAATATTTACAACCTATTGTGTACCAAATGCCTTTCCTATTACCTGTCTGCGCTGCCTTGTATTGGCTTCCAGTTCCACATCACCACAAATTTAAAATTCGTGGTCTTTAAGTTCGTCCATGGTCTTAACACCAACTTCAGTAACCAAATCAAACCAGCCATGTTTTCTCACATGTCCTACTTCTAAGCTCCTCGCTCGTCTAGGTCCAGCATCTTGTGCAGTGTCTAGACCCTTTCGCAGTACTACCAACAACTGTGCTTTCAGACACTTCGATCCTACCCCCTGCTTTCCTTTGCCCAAATCCTTTTCTGTTTCCACCTCTGTCTCTTCCTTTCGAACCAATTTTCTCTCAACTGTAATGGGGCTCTGTATCTGCTTTCCTCATGCTACAGAAATGTCTTGGAATGTTTTACCTAAGTTACAAGTGCTGTTATCTGTATAAATTTCTGTTACTGAAGTATTTTCGATTATATTTACCTGCTCATATTTATCAATCTGCACATCCCTTCCTTCAACTTCACTTTTCAGCTGATTTATTTGTTGCTCCTTTTGTAGTAGCTTAAAGTCTTTTTCACGCAACTCCTCTTGTATAAGCTGTAGTTTTCCATCCAAAGTCTCCACCTATACATACAATGGGATGTTAGAGTTGATTTAATAGTCAAGAGGCAATCTGGACATGCAATCTTCAAACAAAAGAGATTTAGAACAAAACTGGGACATATTTACTGCTCAGCTCTGAAACTGAAGTCCGAAAATCTTGAACCAGAATTTGTATTTGAGCAAGAAATCAAAAAGTACTTTAGAACAAAACTTTGTTTTCATCGACTAAGAATCGACATAATAGTTACCTAGATACAGCCTTTGTCATCCTTTCTTCCTACTTCTTAATCAACGAAATCGCAACTGTTCAAGTTTACAATATTGAGCAATTATCTCATGCAGGGTATGTGATGACTTTCTCCAGCAAAGGCCAAAATTCTAAACCAATCAATCCTAAAGCTGTATGAAAGGATCTCCTGGCATCTAAACTAACCACACAGCATAACCATACCTTTGTATAGCCACTTCACCATTTGATGACATTTTCAGAACTTACAGCAAGGTAGTATGGAAGGTGGGAATCTAGAGATAGAGTCTTTTCTCCATTGACATTTGAACCATGTATAATCTGCAAGAATTGTTGCCATTTTGCTCAATTTCAAATAATCTAGGTGGTTACAACTTAGTGTGGAGTGATAGCTAAGAAAAAGTATTTACTTTTAGCAACGGCTCCACCCACATGTAATTACACTGCATCTGTCTTAGTTAAATACCATTTGACAAATGCGGACGCAAACACAAGAGGGGTGATTACAGTCATTTATTCCACATAGCTGTTATACTGTGAACCGTATTGGGGCACTGATCTAAGGAAAGATATACTGGCATTGGAGGCAGTCCAGCCAAGGTTCCCTACACTAATACAGGTAAGGAGGGATTGTCTTATAAGGAGAGGTCATGTAGGTTGAGTCTGTACTCTTCAAATACAGAAAAATGAGAGGACAACTTATTGAAACATACAAGAATCTTAGATCTCTTGACAGGGTAGAATCAGAAGAGCTGGTTCCCCTTGTTGGACAGTCTAGGACCAGAAAGCACAATCTCAGATCAAGGGGTCGCAAACTTAAGACAGAGATGAGTAGAGTTTCTTCTTTCAGAGGATAATGATTCTATGGAGTTCTTTATCACAGCGGGTTATTGAAGCTGGTCAATAAGTATATTCAAAGCCAAGATAGGCAGAATTTTGAATCAGGAAGGAAAGTAAGGGTTATGGCGAAAAGGCAGGGAAGTGGATTTGAGGATTAACAAATCAGCCACAGTTTCGTTGAATGGCAGAGCAGACTAGATGGGCTGAATGGCCTGCTTCTGCTCCTGTCTCTTATGGTCTTATCTCCTCACCCATCCTAATATTTCACATAAAACCTTGCATCATAGTCATCGTCATATAATAATACAGCATGGAAACAGACTCTTGGGTCCAATTCGTCCATGCTGACCAGATATCCTAAATTAATCTAATCCCATTTGTCAGCACTTGGCCCACATCTCTCTAAACACTTCCTATTCATTTACTCATCCAGATGCCTTTTAAATAATGCAATTGTACCAGCCTCCACCACTTCCTCTGGTAGCTCATTCCACACATGCACCACCCTCTGCGTGAAAAAGTTGCCCCTCAGGTCCCTTTAAAATCTTTCCCTTCTCATCTTAAATCTATGCCCTCTAGTTTTGGACTCTGCTACCCTGGGGAAAAGACCTTGGCTATTCACACTATCTATGCCCTTCATGATTTTATAAACTTCCATAAAGTCACCCCTCAGCTTCCAATGCTCCAGGGAAAATAGCCCCAGCCTATTCAGCCCTCCCTATAGTACAAACCCTCCAACCCTGGCAACACCCTTGTAAATCTTTTCTGAACATTTGCGAATTTGGGTAGAGTACATGTGAATTAGAAGACAGGGCCTTAGAATGTGTTTGTATAAAGGATTAGGGGAAATAGCGTGTAGTCCCTTTGAGAGGTGATGTGCTTTATTAAACTTGGAGATTAAAAAAAAGTCTGCAAGAAGCTGCAGATGCACAGACAGTTCTGAAATTGAAAAGTATTTATCAATTGTGGGTGGCAACTTAGGCTTGTTTTGATGTCAAGGCAACCAGCTTGAATATCAGCCAATTAATTTAAACCAGGCTCTAGATACCAAAACCCAATTAAAATTAAATTTGATGGTGTTGACAACCTAGGACCAATCCTATGATTATAAAATTGATAGGTCATCAAGGGTATATAAGAAGAGGGTTTTTTGTTTTTTGAAAATCAATGTGAGAGTGAACTGCCATTGGAAGAGTAAAACTCTGGCTCTCAGGAATCTTTAAGCTCTCTGATTAAGCACCATCTAAAAGGCACCAAGGCACTCTTAGCTAACATTCCTGACACAAAGATTCGATGAAGAAAGAATTCCTGACTGAAGAATAGCTAAAAAGGCGAACGACATTCCGGAAGATGCATCCTGACTGTAGTTTTGACAGTCTAAGTTTTAATTTATTTTTCTTATTACTTTGGTTTGTATAAGTGGGACTTATATTTATTGGAACAGCATGCCATTGGAATTTTGTTCTGTTTCGGAACAGTTTGTAGTCAAGGAGGAATTGTTCGGTTTGTTAGTAGGTCTGTTAATTTGTTCACTGTTAGAGTTAGATAAATAAGTTGTTACATGTTGCTTATAAAGTGAGAAACAGGGATTTCTTTCATTTAACCTCTCCTTTATAACATATTAGGAGGTGAAAGGCAGTTTATACCATTTTTCCCATTTCCTTTAGCAGATTGCGAGGCGAGGTGAGCTTCTCTGGGTGCTTTGGTTCTTAATTATCAGAGGGGTCCGACCACCATCCGTTCCATAAGAGAACCCTTTCAAGTTTCACAACATCCTTCCTATAGATTCTTCCTCAGACACAAGTATATGGATCGTTCCCCAATACCTACGTTAAAATCGAAGGCAATAAAGGGCAAAAATTCCTATTAGCCACCATCAGTAGCTAATCTCCAAATAAATCCATAGCCATGATAAATGGCAGTGGAATTCTATAACTCTTCCAATTTATGAACGGATGGGTGAGGACTGCAGAGTTTAGTTCTGATCTGTTGGTTGTGGAATCACTTAGTTCTATCTGTCAATCACATGCTGCTTATGTTGTGTGCCATGCAAGCAGTCCTGTTTTGTAACTTCACCAGGTTGACACCTCACTCTTAGGTATGCTTAATTCTGTTCCTAGCATGCCCTTCTGCACTTTCCATTGTTTCAGGGTTGGTCCCTGGTTTGATGATAATGGTAGAGTGGGGACATGCCAGACCATAAGGTTGCAGATTGTGTTGGCGTACAATTTTGCAGCTGCTGATGGTCCATGGTCCCTCATGGATGACAAGTCTTGAGTTGCTAGATCTGTTGGAAGGCTGTCCCATTTAGCAAGGTGATAATGTCATACACAGAGGGTATTCTCAATGTGAAGGCAGGACTCAGTCTCCACAAGGACTATACGGTGGTCACGCTAACTGCTACTGTCATGGACAGAAACTTGTGTGTCGGGGCAGATTGGTGAGAATGAGATCAAATATGCTTTTCACTTTCGTTGATTCCTTTACCACCTGCTGCAGACCCAGTCTAGCAGGTATGTCCTTTAAGACATGACCAGCTCGATCAATAGTGTTGCTGCCGAGCCACACTTGGTGGTAGACACTGAAATTCCTCATCCAAAGTACAGAATACCCTCAACACCTACTGCAGACCTAGTCTAGCAGCAATGTTCTTTAGGATTCCACAGCTCAATCAGTAATGCTGCTGCCAAGCTTTTAAAAAAACTCTTGATGATGGATACTGAAACTCGTCAGTCAGAGTACCTCCTGTACCCTTGGCTAGCGATAATATCATTAGGCCATCATCTCCCCATTGAGTTCAGCTTTTTTAGAGCTCCTTGATGCCGCACTTAGTCAATTGCAGCCTTGCATCTCTTTGACCAAATCTGCTACCTGCTGCAAAGGATCTTCATGTATCCAAAAATCAAGGCCATCTCCACTGTAGCTGCATCTTAAAAACTGATCCCCAAATTTCCAATCCCAGCACTCCTATTTACCTTTCAGCCATTTGTGTCTTAAGCCTTCCTATTTTTGCACGTTTTCCCCATCTCATTCATCCTCTCATTCAGAACACACAGCTACTACTTTTTAAGAGGGCAACTAGGGACAGGCAATGGATGCTGGCCAGCCAGAGACGTCCACATCCCACTAACGAACAAAGAAAAAATCAACTTGTTGCTCTAGTGACACTTCCCCCTGCATCTTCAAAACTGCTGTCATCAACTCTCCTCCCCAATCCAGCTAAACATCTAATTCTTCTTCCAACTACCTCTCCTTACTCATGAAAGCTGAATTATGGCTCTTCCCTATATCCATCAATTTATTAAAAAATAAAGCCTTGATCCAACCAGAGGGTCTGAAACATAAACAGACTGACATCCAATCCAAGAAGCAGTAGGTTGTCATGCGTCTCAAACTATTTTAATTGACCTCTAGGTAGCTCATTCCTACAAGGAACAGAAAAAGAACCATACAGCACAGAAACAGGCCCTTTGGCCCACCAAGACTGCATTGACACGTGATGCCTTTCTAAACTAATAACTTTTGCCTTATCCCTCTATTCCTTGCCTACTCATATATCTGTCAAGATGCCTCTTAAATGTTGCTACTACATTAAGCTCTAACACCTCCTCCGCAAATGCACTTACTATCCTCTACGTAAAAACACTTGCCTTTCACATCTCCTTTAAATTTACTCTCTTTTATCATCAATCTATGTTTCCAGTAATTGACATTTCTATCATGTGAAAAAGACACCGACTATCCATGCCTCTGATCATTTTGTAAACTTCTATCAGGTCGTTCATCATCCTTCGACATTCAAGTGAAAACAAACCAAGTCTGTCCAATCTTTGCTCATAGCTAATACCCTCCAAACCAGGGAACATCCTGGTAAACTGTGTCTGTACCCTCTCCAAAGCCTTTACATCCTTCTTCGTGTGCAGCCTAACTAAAGTTCTATACAGCTACAATACAACTTGCCGATTTTTATTTTTCATGCCTAGATCAAAGAAGGCAAGCATGTTGTATGCTGTCTTGACCACCTTATCCACTTGCATTGCCACTGTCAGGGAATTGTGGACTTTTACGCTTAGATCTCTCTGTACGTTGATGCTACCAAGGATTCTGCCATTTACTATAAATTTCCCTCCTGCATTAGATCTTCCAAAATGCATCACCTCGCATTTGTCTGGATTAAACTCCATCTGCCATTTCTCTACCCACGTCTCCAGCCTATCTACATCTTGCTGTATCCTCGGGCTATCCTCCTCACTATCCACAGCTTCCCCTAATCTGCAATGAATAACTAAACTTGAGTCACAGATCAAGATTACACCTCCTTCTTGGGCATCCTCAAAGAAAAACGTGATTTTGTAACATACTACAGAATTCAATGAAAAATCTGGCAAATCTGATCTGTCTGTCCACCAACTCCAACTTCATCCTGGTGAATGTTACACATACCCAGAATAGATTCATTATTCACTAGGCTGTCTCTTCAGATTATTTTCATTCCAAAAGGAGAAAATGAAGCACGATACTCTTGTCACTATAGAATTAACTAAAAAGGAATAACAATTAATGCAAACACACTGGGAGAAAAGATTGCATTAATTCATTTCTTTTTAACAATATGATTGCTGACAACAGAGTAATACTCTCATCACTGCTTGGAGCTGCCTCCCTTTAAGGAATGTCTTATCTTCATGTTATTCCAGTGATACAGCTGAGGCAGAGGATCCATTGTACAAGTTTACTGTGCTACAATTAAAATTCAGGATTAGCTAAATTAAAAGCAAAGTTAAAACTATGATATTTAAAAGAGGAACACCAACCTGTTTAGTATGCTCCTTAACGCTCAACTCAGATTTCTCCAAAGAACTTTGTAAACAGATAACTTTCTGCTCCATCTCTGTTTTGTGCTCATGAACATTCATATCCAATTGTGTGAGCTGTGGAATAAAATATAGTTTTATATGGCTAACATGATATGGCAATTCAAGTTTCAGGTATTATTTGAGCCAAGTCCTATACAGCAAAAATAAATCTGCAATTAGAACTTGAATATTGGATAAAATTTATTTTGTTGTTTTAATAATGGGAAAATTCTTCCTGACAGAATTCGGATTAACTCTCTGTATGAACACAGATCATTTATCAAACTGGGATTGTTTAGTGAAGTGAGTTTCTTTACAATGCTAAGTATTTCTATTAAGGTGGTTAAATTGCTGAATTTTTCAAGAAGCTAAGCTCAAAATAATATTCAGAAGTCATACGACACCAGGTTATAGTCTAACAGGTTTACTTGAAATCAAAAGCTTTTGGAGTGTTGCTCCTTTGCCAGATGAAGTCACTTCACCTGATGAAGGAAGAGCGCTCTGAAAGCTTGTAATTTCAAATAAACCTGTTGGACTATACCTAATGGCGTGTGACTTCTGACTCTGGCCACCCCAATCCAACACTGGCACCTCCACATCATAAAATAATATTGGATTGTTAGCTTTGTGAAAATTCCAAATAATTTCCAGACAACTCAATCAGTTAAAGGACCAGTAATTCATCCAAGTCATTTAACACAATATGCTTAATTATAATCCTTTATTTCAATACTGATTATTCATTCCTGCTCTGCTGATATAGTTGGATCAATCTAGGTTGATTGTAGGTTCATACTTCATAATAGTATGAACAGACTTCAAATTTCTGATTTTTTAGGAAATTACTTCGACATCATTAATGTATCTCTCATCGAGCATAGTGTCCAATTCCTTAAAAACCTTCTCATCAATCTTGAGGATTCGACTTAAATATCTCCAGTCACTCCCAACTACTGTCCACCTATTTATCATTTGACATGTTGAAATTTTTTCACTTCTGCTAAAATAATCCATGAAAACACAACAGGAGAAGTAGCTGATGGTTTTCTGCAAATCAACCTAAAATTAGTTCTAAAAAACCAGAAAAAACAAGTCTGAATATCATGTGTAGGTATGGAAAATACGAAGTAAGTATCAACCCCTGAATAAGTAAAACACTGGACAAGGTACTGATCATATATGATTGCAAAATCACTTGTTTACAAGGTACCTGAGCTGCTCTCTGTTGGAGCTCCCATTGCCTGTCCTTGAGTGCCTGGTCCATGTCAATGATTTCCGCATTTCTGTCCTGTAATTCACTTTTATACTGCCTATTGAAGAAACAAACATCAGTAAAAAAGTGTCCAAAATCACTATGCTTAACAGCTTTAAAGGGATGATGCAGTGATTACTGAACGATTATCCCATCACGAATATTTAGTGGTAAAATCCTGTTAGTTTTCAATGATTCCATAGTCACAAAAATCAAACTAGATTCAAATCTGAAACGAACACAGAAAATGCTGGAGAAACTCAGTAGGCCTGGCAACATCTGTAGAAAGAGAAACAGAGTTAATACTTTAAGTCTGACATAACTCTTCTTCAGAACTCAAAACTTTCTGCTATGAAACAGATGTAACATAATTAATTGCCCGATGGTTGAAATGCTACAGTAAAAGCCCTACATACAATGAAAATGAGTTGAACTGATAGCAAATTTAAAGTCTAACTTTAGGGCTAAAATGTAACATGTTATGTGTTCCGTGTTCATTCAGGAGATATTCTCATAAAACAGCTAGGCCTGTAAGAAAGATCGAGTTCTGGCAACAAGCTAGAAAATTTATACATTATTAATCCTGAAACTTTAATGTTCTCTAGGGAGATCAACAATTTCTTGCTCTGAATCTAGTACACAATAAAAAACTGATCTAAATATTTGTCACAAGAATCACGTCAGAAGAAATCAAAAAACATATCAACTATAGATAAAGCCTTGAAATAGAAAGCAAGCATTTTTCCTCTAAAAGCACAAATGCTCAAAAACATGAAATCTATAATAAATATTTATGACAAGATAAAAATAATTTATAACATCTGGACAGTATTCACCTTGTAACTTGGTGCAAAGAAAATGGTCTTGGCATATTTACCACTTCAAATTGATTTTTCAAATGAAGTTTTCAATTCTTTAGCTAGTTGGATAAAATTAGCTGCCTAATGGCACAGTGCAAATTGCTGCAGGGTCTGCTGCCTTTTATACAGTTTTCCAAGGCAGTATAATTATTTTCAAGTCAGAGTTAAACATAGAAACACATTAAATAGAATCCTTGAGGACTAAACAAAAAGTCATTTATACTAGCTTGGATTCTTTTTAACCCTTACACAATAGAACAAACACGAACTCTACAGTTTCAATAAGTAATTGTAACATTAAGAGGATATATATGCGTCCAAGGAGGCACCCAATTGCTTCATCAATTTTCTTCAACTTGTCCATCTTTTCAGTAATTGAATACCACAAGATTTCAGTCAGTTGCAAAAGCTGAAAACTTCCATATACTCTGTGCTTAACTGCATTGTGAATGGAATGCACTATACCAATACAACTGATTATCTGCAACCTATTGTTATTTACAGCTAGCAATGGTGTATAAATATTGGCCGAGCTAGCAAAGGCGAAGTTCCATTAATGATTAATTTTTAAAAAACACATTACTTTGAATCAGAAAACACAAAGATGCCATTTGGCTTGCGCCAATTGTCTAAAACAGCTGTCAGCTAGTCCCACTCCTGTTTCTTCTCATGGGTATTCAATCTTTCCTTTTCAAAATATAAATCAAAAGCATAAATATAAAATAAATATCTACATCCAACTGGCACAGGGACGTCCTATTACTTAGAAACAATAATTACTGTGCTCTGTGAGTGATAGACTGTTTAAAGTTTTTAAGCAATTGATCAGAGGGCTGCAGACATTTTACATTAATGAATGCTCGTGGAAAAAAATTCCCACAAGTTTCTAATTATACAAAACATAATACCCATTTCAATAAAAACTTCCATTTATCTGGTGAAAGCAAATCAAAACGTCCCTCAGGGCAAAATCCACATTAATAAGTTACGTGGAATTGAACAAAATCAGTTTATTGTGAGGAAAATCATGGTACTTTCTCCGACCCAGGATGTGTTGTGTTGGGTGACTGAACAATTACATTAACAACTTTTAGATTCAATTACGAATAGAAGGGTTCTGCGTAAAACATATTGGAACAGTTTTAAACGAGTTCTTCATGAACTGAGTTGATTAATTTGAACCAGACATCATTTAACACAACTCTCAATTTTATCCAAAAACCACTTTCATAACTTCTGTAAAGGCGAATACCTTTATTTTATAAAATCTAGAAGAAACCTAAAATCCAAAAGGAATTAAATCTCAATATTCCACTGTTTAAAACATGAATTTCACAACAGTTAAAGAGACAGTACACAATAGCTTAAACAACCATTCTTTAACATTCAGAATCAACACAAGTTGAATATGAATTATCAGGCAAATTAAAATTATGTACTATAAATTGCATATTAAAAGGCAGATATAGCTAAGAAAATGTCATATGAATTTGCTCAGCAGTTGTCTCAGATTTTGGTATTCACTCTCAGTCATAGTCCTTCAAAACTCTGCATTCCTCATGAAGAATTCCGCTCCTCACCTTCTAGAAGCTCATCTGATCACTAGCCGACAGCAGCAGATGACCGACGAGAGCGTAAGCATGTCACATGTCTACAGAATTTGCTCAATTTGGTCTGGATGAGATAAACTTATCAATGTTATCTTCAAGTAAAAATAACAGCTGCAGCAACTTATTCCCAGCTTCAGCATCTACACTGTGCTTTCTTAAGCTTGCCTATTTTGCATCACAGGACTTATCAGTTGCTACCATCCAGTTTGGATTGATCTACGTCCTTTTATATCTTTCAACCAGTTTCAGTATGCCTAACAATTTTGATTTCCAAATCTCAGTTCTTTTTTATTTCCTTTGACACTAGTAGCATTTGTTTCCTTTTCTGGTTTTGGTTAGGGACTACATCAAAACATACAAACTTTACACACCCACTCCATAAGAAACAATTTAATTTGGAATGTAAAATTCACCAGAGTAATAAGGGCTCTTCTGAAATTAGGATTATGATACTTGGTTAAGAAACCTTGATATCCAAAATTCTGGTTGGTTGTGTGCTGCTGTCAGCTGGGCATCAGACATACTTCCAGAAAAAGAGCAGTTCGAATTTTCATCAGGGATGCAGAGTTTTAAAAAGTTTCTGAATGAGTGATCACCAAAATCTGAAATGATTGCTGAAAGGTAGGTAGAGGATCAAGCAATATTGAAATTCAATTTTGTTGGGAGCGCAAAGTAGGTGATTTTCAGCTTAGGACCTCATTTTACAGTGTATCAGATTTTCTATTGAAAAGAAAATGAGGGTTTGAGGTGAGCACTTGTTAACAGGCAGTCAACTGCTGTGGGCTATAACTTCAAACAATAGAACTTCAGATGCTTTAGTGTTGATATCATTCACTTGGGGATTACAAAAACAGCATCCAATCTTTCAGCACAACTGTGAAACTGAATTCCAAGTAAAAGCATGTTTAAATTTTGAAACTTTACATCCTGATTCATTAAACTGTCATT